TCGCTTTGCGAATTCGCTCATGAGCGTAGCGAAGCAGAGCGAAGCGAAGTCGCTTCGCTTTCGCTTTTGAAATTTCAATTCGCTTCGCTTCGCTTTCGCTTTTTACCAAAAATTTTCGCAAAAATTTCGCTCTTAACAAATCGTTCTAAGAATTGAATATTTTGTTATTTTCATCTGCTTTAGCGAAAGCTTTACTGAGAATTTTGCTTATTGAACTTAATTTGCACTATTCAGAGTTTTGCTGAGATCATTTGAATGTTTTCAAAGTAGCCAATATTGACAATAATATATTGTGAGCTACGCTGAGCTGATGAGTGGTCACTGTTTTCCGGGATAACTTTTCCCAAGTCGCCAGAGATATCCGATTGCCGAACTTGGGGAAACGGCGACATTGGCAAACGGCGACGTGAATTTTTAAATTGATTGATCATATACAGTGAAAACCCAAAATTTGCCCACCCAAAATTTGGCCGCTTTTTGTCTTAATCCGCCTTTTTTGGAAACTCAAATCAACCCAAAATTTGGCCGCTTTTACAAAAATAGAAAATTTTTCATCAGAATTGGGTCCAAATTATGCTCTTTCTGAATATTTTAAGCTTTTTTAAAGTGTTTATATCATTTAAAATGACTAAATTCTTATAAGAATGTCTTCCAACAAGCAAAAATTTTAATAAAATTCATCAAAAATGTGAAAATCAATGATTTTAAATCATGCCGATTTTCGAAAATTTCGAAACTTTGATTTTTAAAGGGGAAACTTGGCTACCCGGCAAAAACCCAAAATTTGGCCGCTTGTTTCGGGAATTTACATCTGAAAACCGGTCAATTTTTGGGTTTTCACTGTAATATGATTCATATAACTTTAACTATTGCCAATAACTTATTGGTTACTCCACAGTCAATCCCGGCTTCAACAACTTCGATCCTGGCTTTTCAGACGTCATTTCTGGCCTCTCATACCGTCAGTCTCGGGATGAACGTCCAATAACCCGGGATCGGCATTGGATCGGCATTTATTCACATTGCAGTTTGCCCAAGATTTAGGTTCCCCAAGTTGGGTAAACGGTGATTTGGGGAAACTGCATTTGGGCAAATGGAGATCACTCGAGCCACACATCCTCTTCAGCTGAGTTAGATCAGAAAATTCACGATTTCGCTCTTTCCGAAGAGGGAGTCCGAATGCCCGAAAAGAAATAAAATTGAAAGCGAACCTAAAATGGACACTTTTTCGAAGGTCAAATATTATCGGAAAATTTTCGCTTTTTAGAAAAATTTTCGCTTCGCTTCGCTTTCGCTTTCGAAAATTTGATTCGCTTCGCTTCGCTTTCGCTTTAAATTTTTGAAAAATTTTCGCTTTCGCTTCGCTTTCGCTTTTCATTTTTGGCCAAAATCCAGACCCCTGGCTTATATTTAACCCTTATACCGATGAAAGTAAAGCATTGCCCGGGAAAAATCTCGTTCTCCATATATGGAGAACGAGATTCGGCCACCCCCTGGCGCTGTTGTCCCAGCCAAAAAGTCCTCACCGCTTTCTCACTTTTGACCAAAGCGATGGCGGAACTAAATAAAAATAATTTCGGTGGTGTTTTGTCTATTTTATGGTGCAAGAAAATAAGAATTTTTACAATAAAAAGGGACCACACACGAATGAATAGACAATTCAGAATAGAAAAAAGGGAGGACAGAGGGCATTGAGCTCGCGCCGATCGCGCACGAAGCAAGAGCATTCTCCACTCAACCAGACTGGTTTACCCCAAAGTTAAACTTATAGGGGTATATTGAAACTTTTCTAAAGAAAATTTCAATAAAAATGTTTTAAAAAATTTTTTTAATTTTGTTGGGAGAGAAGGCCTGACTGAGTACCCTGAAAACCTGACTGAGTGAGAAACCCTGACCTGAGTGAATATCAGGAAAAATTTTTCGAACCCTGACCCTGACCCTGTTCTCAGGTTGCCGAGCCCAGCCACTTAAAAATTGGACCACAGGGAACAGCCCCGTCCCTTGATTTTTAAATTTAAGGGGCTTGACGGCCCTTCGGGCCGTTTCAGCCCCGTCCCTTGATTTTTAAATTTAAGGGGCTTGACGGCCCTTCGGGCCGATTCAGCCACGTCCCTTGATTTTTAAATTTAAGGGGCTTGACGGCCCTTCGGGCCGTTTCAGCCCCGTCCCTTGATATATAAATTTAAGGGGCTTGACGGGCCTTCGGGCCGTTTCAGCCCCGTCCCTTGATTTATAAATTTAAGGGGCTTGACGGCCCTTCAGGCCCTTTCAGCCCCGTCCCTTGATTTTTAAATTTAAGGGGCTTGACGGCCTTTCGGGCCGTTTCAGCCCCGTCCCTTGATTTTTAAGTTTAAGGGCTTGACGGCCCTTCGGGCCGTTTCAGCCCCGTCCCTTGATTATTGAATTTAAGGGGCTTGACAAAGGCTGGGAAAAGGCTGAGTTGATCATTCTCAGTCCCGTCCCCAACCCCGCCCGCCTCCATCTGATAAGAAAATATATAGTGTCCCTATTTTTAGTTTTTTTATGGTTTTTAATTAATTTCTTTTAGTTTGTTTACAGTCGTCAGGGGCCTGACTTAGGCTTTATCTTTGGTCAAAATAGTGACTCAAGACCTATTAAAATCAGTTCTTTTTGATTTTAAAACCTTTTTAATTTCTTTAGAAAGCTCTTTTAAGAAAATGAAAATTTTCGATTTTCTTTTCAAAAAAAAATTTCATTATGAATGTATAAATATGAATATTTTTAGTTCCCCTTTGATCACGTGAAAAAATCCAAAAATGCGAAAGTTCAGTGTGAGGATGTTCTTTTCTTAAAAGGGAAGTCTTCCAGCTGGCGGGTTCCTCCGCCGCGGAGGCTCCGCGTGGTCCTCCGCTTAATAAAAGCGAAACACGCACACTTGGTGTCGCTTAATCGGGCTCGAGTCCAGGGCAACCCCTACTTTCATCGGTATGTTATTTTGAGTACCATCGAACCATTATTTCGGGGAGCTGTTTTTCGTGGAATAATCCTAGATATGTACCATGTTATAGTATGACTATAACGTATATGCATTCTGATAAGCCTACAGAAACTATGCAATTTCAAACCATAGTTACTATGCATAAGAAGTTCATGGTCACCTCGAGAATCTCACTCACTCCTACTACTTGGTATCTTTGGAGGGGTTTTCGGAGCTGCTCACGGAAAACCGTCGGAGCTGCCGACGGAAATCCGTAAGAAATTATGGTTTTGGCGGACTATATAAACGAAGCAGGCACTTAGAATTGGCATCCGAGTTAGGGGGCGCACTGGTTATGTCGCCGAATGTCGCCGAATGTCGCCGAATGTCGCTGAATGTCGCCGAATGTCGCCGAATGTCGCCGAATGTCGCCACTTGTTTTCGAAAAATAGGAATTATGAAAAAAATTTTTTGGCTCAAATATTCAAAACAAACTTGTTCTAGAACCGTAAAAGGCGGGAATAGTAGGAGGCGCGGCAATACAAGTGTGTCCAGCCCGACCAGTGAGTTTCCTACCACAAATTGCGCGGAGCGCTTCCTTGCCTCGAAATTATGCGAAAACAGTTCTAGAACAAGTTTGTTTTGAAATTTCTTGGTTAAAAACTAGTTTTCTTTGCAAAAATCCTGGTTTTAAAAAATAGGTGGCGACATTCGGCGACATTCGGCGACATTCGGCGACATTCAGCGACATTCGGCGACATTCGGCGACATTCGGCGACATAACCAGTGTCGACCAGTTAGGGGTCACCTTCAGAAAGACCTAACTAAGAGATATCTGTACTATGACTGTACAAGCGCTAGTCGCGGAATAAAACAGAGCTTTTTAGCTTTTTATACAAATTGTAGTGTTTTCTTATTTGAGACGCAAAGTCGCACTACAACATTTGGTGTCAGAAGTATAAAGAGACCCAGCCTCAGATTAAAAGACGAGTGGATGAAAACTCACGCTAACCAGATGCCGCTTTCAAAAATCACTCTGATTTTACGACAGCTGCAACGCGTGCGCTTTACCTCGCCTAACTTCCTTTCAGACTTGCATTAAAAATTCAAACTTGCTATTGTTGCCGCTCAACCGGAAACTATGTCGAAAATCGAAATCAAGAATTCAGTGTGGACTCCATCGCGATCGAAGACAGGTAAAAAATGAAAAATAAAGGAAAAAGAGAAATCGAGAAATAATCATCAAGTTAGAATTTTTTTAAAGTATAATTGCCAGGGATTTTCACAGCAAGCGGAGCTCGCACCCATAATGGCAGTCACCGATAGAAAATCCTTTAGGCACATAAATTTAAACTTAAAATTTGATTCAAGATAAAATTATAAATAAATAAAAATTAAGAAATAATAAATTATTATATTTACGTTAAAGCTGTTTTAAATAAGATAATCAATAAATAAATATAAATAAAATTTTTCATTTGACATATTTTTTCTCAAATAATCTTCTTCATTGACGAATAGGAATGACGATTGCCGCCTCAGAGCTTTACTGCTTCTATGCTTACGAGCCTAAGGGCTACAAACAAGTGCTTCAAAGATATGTATTGCCCAAAATTCAGTACATCGAGGTCGACTTGATATACCGATGAAAGCAGACTCAAATCCGGGGTTACGCCGCCACTGCAAGTCTCGAAATTTGTGATTGGCTAGTACCAAAAGATTGTCGCCAGGGGGTGGCGACAATCTTTTTATCCAGGGTAAAGGCCTGCTTTCATCGGTATCTGGACGTCGAAAAATATAAGAAGATTTTGAGCTCTTTGCTTACATCCAAGAGACTCGCGAAAACGTGAAGCAACATCTGGGAGGCTTCAAATTTAGCGAAAGAGAAGCATGGGCTGTTTATGAGTTCTGGAAGACGAAAGAATCGAAAAAAGATAGTCTTTTATTCTGGATCAGCAAGGCAACAACGATGGCAACAATCTGTCGTGGACACCCGGAAATGCGACAAATAAGCAAGAGTATAAATAAATCCTTCGACTTTTGTTTCAATGCGAAAAGGCACATGTGGAGTACCGACAAATTCAACGGTTGCGATCGCGACGTCGAGAAACATTACACAGAACGCGATCATAAAAATTTTCTAAAAACTGCAATGTCTCTTGCATTGAATTCACGCGATACAGGCGCTGGGGCTCAGACCACTCAACCGAGTCGACAAGAAAATGAGGAGCAGCAAAACGTTCAGGCATCATTGGTCGTCCAAAGTGTGCAGCGCGATAAGTATGTTCAACTTGCGCTTGAACCTATTCCCACACCGCATCAAACTGTAGTTCCGATAGAATCAGCTCAATTCGTGGAAAATGCAGCTCAGGAACCGGCGAATCCAAGGGAAGGTCAAGAGCTTGATGTTGAGCAACAACCATCACCAACACCCTCGAGGATTGAGTCCGAAAACATGTTTGAAAATATTCTCCAACAATCACAATTCAATCCCAAAAGCGACTCTTATAGAGAATCAAATGCTCAAAATCCAACGACTCCAGTTGCAACCGAGCCGCCAGTTCAACCAACGAAAAAAGCAAGACATGCTGGACCGAAATACCCAATAAATGTTTTCGAGATGATTTCTCCAACAAAAGAAGAAAAAGAATCAGCCCAACCTGAAAAACAGAAGGGAGACGAAATCAACAAAAACATCCCGCGAAGGGTTGAGGAGCTTAGTGATCACGATATCGACTTCTTTTCTGGATTTCTTACTCATTAACTGTTAGAAAATTTTCTTCTTCGACTTTCTTCGATTTACTGTCACCCATCAAGTACGCTCAATATCTGGGCTTATTTTTTGTTTTAAGACTCGAGATCTAAATGGCGAATCTTATTCGAACCACACATAATGTTGTCAAAGAATGTAAAGAAGCGAAGATTCTGTTGCTTACTGAGGAAGACATAAGTGGCCCGATTGCAACTGCTGTCAAAAAGCGAATATCGAAGGAAGTTTCTTACTGGTCACATTTGAAAATTCCATGGTGGGACAAAAATTCGCGAATAACCACAAGCAATGGGAGAAAATGTTAAAACAAGCAACGGACGTTCTAGAAGATGAAGACAATCCGGTTGTGTTCGTCGACAGAGACCTCTGTGCTCGCGATCCCAGCCACTTTAAGGCCCTACTGGATGAGATACAAGCAAAATCAAGAACAAAGAAGCATGAAATAGAAACAGAGGACATACATTCAACATCGGCGTCTCAGACAGCCAATCAAGCGCCCGCAACAACCATTCCTCAGAAAAGAGATACCGAAATAGATCTTTTGAGGAGTGAACTGAAAAGACTCCAATTGGAAAACAAGGAAAAAGATGCATTTCTTAATAAAACGAAAATCCGGGCTGCAGCGATAGAAGAGGAAAGGCAAAAGAACATCGAGCTACTAAACCAATATCAATCACTCCAGCAGTCGATGATAGGAAGTTTTAAAAAGGCCGCAAAATTCATCAGAACGAAAATAGATAAGGAGGCTGATAGTAGTTCTGAATCGACAAGGGAAGAAAAATCAAACACCGAGTCTGACTCAGAGTCTGAGCCAAATTCACAGTCTCAGTCTCGTCCTCAAAAGAAACATAAGGAAGAAAACTCGCGGTATAATCCCTACACGAGACCTCAAAAACAACAGGAATACACAGATCAAAAAGACAAGGGAGTAACAAGAAAAATCAATCGAGAGATTAAGAAAAATCAGAAGAATCCCAAGTCAAATTTTACGGAAATCCAGGGAAATTCAACCTCAAAGTCTGGCAATCAAACGAGAGAATCTCGTTTTGGGAACATCTGTCCCGAAACAAGAGTGCTTTAAGGAATGCGAGAGAAGGTGGCCTCACGGACAGTCAAATGGTGTCACTGTTTATGATGACACTTCGACCTGAAGACTACTTTCTCGAAGAACTTCTTGAGAAAGAAGAGCGTCAAGATTTCGAACTATTCCTAGAAACCATTGGAAAGCATCTTGCTGGAACTTCAAGCAGCATGATGAATGAAATATTGAGGGCAAAACGACGACCACAAGAATCGCTGCTTGCGTTCTTCATCAGACTGTGCACGATATACAAGGCATCGTCCGGAAAAAATCCAAAATCACAGGAGGCTGCGATGTTTCTGTACCCGGTGATTAGAAACAACGCCACTAGAATACAGAAAACGGAACTGAGCAGGGACCTCGAGGCTGGTGAATTGGGCAAAGCAGCAATAACTTTTGACCGACTGCGTGCAGCAATTAAGGTGGCTCAAGTCATGGATGATTCAAATTTTCACAATGAACCAGCGGAGCTCACCTATAACATAGAGGAACGAAACTACTTTGTTCAAGGACATGCACGAAATAATGGGCGAGTGGCGCTGCCAGAGACAAAAGCAAACGCTTCTCAAACCGAGGGTTAGAACCCTGAGAACAGACGTCAGTCAGGAAGACACTTCGGATCACAATGACATCATTCCTGTGAACTGACGTAAAACGATTGATCCGACGCCAGAAAATTTGGCGGAGACATTCAACGAGACGCGCATTGATCTTTGAGAAAGCTGCGCTTAAAATTTATTTCGCGAAGAAAATCTGGAAGAACATGAGTTCTTGCTCAAATGAAGACGAAACAGAAGGCTTCATACATCTGATCCTGATCTTTGGGATGGGTACTATTGATGGATTTGATGTTCAATTTCAGTGAGTTCGAAGCGAATTTGACGTCACGTATTAAGGCTTCATGACCCCTGTTCCAAAATATTCCTGGCCAGAATGGGTTCAGGAGTCAAGTGGGTTAAAATACGCAGCAAGTAACGCTGAACCATTAAATTGATCACTTTAACTCAAAGTCAGACAAATGCACTTGAAAAAAAGAACTTATGAACTCCTGGAGGGCTTGAAAAAAGTGGAAAAAAGCTCGGATATACAAATATTGGAAAAAATACATGCGAAATATGTATTTCATATCTCCCGTCGAAGATCCTAGACGCCACTTCAAAGTTCTACGCTCTGTACAAGCGAATGAACAGGTCTCTCGGTGATGTGGAAGGAAACACGTATACGGTATGATCAATCGGTAGATTAAAGAGTGAGAAAACTCTGTCTAGGAGGAAAAGGAGCCGTATCAAAAGACGAATTACAAATCGGCAGGAAAACACGCTTGAGGATATAATGCGCACGAAATAGAAGACTGAGCAAGCGAGGCCGGACAAAGGGCGAGCGGCTGCCGTTAACGAATTATCTCAAACAAGTCCGGGGCCACAGGGAGACGAGAGCTTCCCGAAAACCCCGTGCTTATCTTCGATCCAGACGATGAATGAGAAACGACGGGAAAGAGATTTTTTTTTTGCGAAATTCATCAGTGCTTAACCCTGTCTCGAGCATTCAAAATTATCCTATCTCGAGCGCGAGCACATGGCCGTGAGCTCGCCCATCTAGAGAAAAAATGTCATTTCTTTCTCTCTCTTGTCTGTGCAAAGGGCATTAATTGCAAGAAAGCTGGTCTGTAAGACAGTAAATATAACAGTCCTGATCATCGCAAGCCTCATTTCGGTCATTTTGGGGGTGACCCATCCCGATCCGACCGTGAAAAAGGGTGGTCGGCGCCGACCCTAGCCCTCAGCACAGACAAGAGAGAGAGAGAATGAACAGACATTTTTTTTTTCTCTAGATGGGCGAGCTCATGGCCGTGTGCTCGCGCTCGAGATAGGGTTAAGTAACTCCAGAACCGATCTGCAAATTAACGTTTAGAAAGTCATGGAGAATTACAAGTTAAGACTGATGAGACAGCATAAATTGAAAAACAAGGAATCAAAAAGCAATTATCGATAATTAGTTAGATTAATCAGGAAACACAAAATGCGAAGAAGATACCTGAATGGAAAAGTTCCAAGAAGCAGTATCGAAAAGAATCCAAGGAAAGCAACCGATCAAGACATTATGAATAGAATCCACTAAGATACTGATGATTCTCAAGATACTTAACTGCGACCTTGAATTCATAGCAAGCGGAAGTCAACGTTTTCAGTGTTTCACGGAAAGGATGATTGAATTGTGGAAACTCTTAAGTTCATCAAAAAACAAGACTACTTTTATTTTCTACTGGCGAGCGAAAATCAACTTTTCCGGTGTTTCATAAAAATCATTATTGTCGGTGCTACAAATAATATTTGCTCTTCCTCTTTCAGAAAATGTTCACGACAGCCGAATTGATTCAAACAGTTGAAGAAATGGGAACAAAGATTTTGAGGCATCAAACACAGAAAAGAAGCGAGCCATCGAGATTTACAAACAAGCATTGGAGGACAAAGAACACAGATGCAGAAGAAGACGAGTAGAATATGTGGCTGCTGCAACCTTGTTCATAAGCCTCCGGGAAAATAATAAGATAATCACCCTCAGAGACTGTTATGATAAATGCAAGGGAATGAACAACCGAACGATCTCGCAGACATATGAATTCTTGAAAAGCAAACTTAGGGAAATTGGAAGTGGAGAATACCAAGCCCTCAAAGCTTCACATTACATAGACCAACATCTTTGTAAACTTTCAACAAGTATATATCGAACAGCAATGAAGATCGCGAAAGAAGTGGATGATCCTTCAGTAAAATCTTCACGAAAAGCAAAAGCTGCTGCGTGTATCTTTTACGCATACAAACACTCTGAAGTGCCAAAATCGATGAGCTTGATAGCGAAACTAACAGAGTGCCCTCAGTCGACTATTGCAAGAAACATCAAACACATAAAATCGAAGATTTCGATCATACAGCAAGTAGTTCCAAAACAACAATCAACAAGAGATGGTCATGAATGCGATCATCAATCATCGAATCAACCGGTTAGAGAAGTCAACAGTTCAACCTCAAATGATATTCCTTTTGTATTCTCAAATACGCATACGAATCTCCAAAACAGCGATTCAAATCAAACCTATGCCGCCCCAGATTCGATGAAGGATGCCGTTCGAATGTCCGAGAAGACTCTTCTTGAGCTAAATGTGAGGGAGGGAAGGGTAACGAAAATTCGTTATGTTAAATTTCAGCCCAACACCCAGTATCACCATCTTGGTAAGGATTCTGCTCATCATATCCAGAAGTCTTAGGCATGCCGAACCTACTTCATATCCGCCGGCAATTGGGAAGAAAAATTTTAGTGTAACCGTCATTTAGCAATTGTTTATTATGTCATGACCGAATCTCATCGTTTTGGAGAATAAAAAAACCGTGAAAATTAACCTCAAAAGCAGTCGAAACATGTTGTATCTGCTTACCGAAATACTTAAGAAACTGGATCTTACTTATCGAGCATGGAACTTTCAACCTGAATTAACAATTTATCCAAAGTGTTAATTGACGAAGTTGGGGAAAGTGTTATAGTATGACTATAACGTATATGCATTCTGATAAGCCTACAGAAACTATGCAATTTCAAACCATAGTTACTATGCATAAGAAGTTCATGGTCACCTCGAGAATCTCACTCACTCCTACTACTTGGTATCTTTGGAGGGGTTTTCGGAGCTGCTCACGGAAAACCGTCGGAGCTGCCGACGGAAATCCGTAAGAAATTATGGTTTTGGCGGACTATATAAACGAAGCAGGCACTTAGAATTGGCATCCGAGTTAGGGGTCACCTTCAGAAAGACCTAACTAAGAGATATCTGTACTATGACTGTACAAGCGCTAGTCGCGGAATAAAACAGAGCTTTTTAGCTTTTTATACAAATTGTAGTGTTTTCTTATTTGAGACGCAAAGTCGCACTACAACACCATAATACCTCTGACCGCATCGTGCAAGTACGGCTTCGTGTAGGTTATTTTGATGTACAGTCTTTTTCTGTAGTGTAGCCGTAAAACGGAGTCCGCCCAAATCAGAGTTTGAAATTTTCGTGACTCGCGAGCGGCTCACTTGAGAGCGAGCGAGCACGAGCATGATGCTCTTTGTGCTCCCGAGCACATTTATTTCATCGTTCGCGCTCTTTGCGCACGCGAGCGCATTTCATTTCGCGCTCTCGCTCTCTTGGCTCTCGAGCACTGGTCGAATTGTGCTCTTGCTCGATCGGCTCTCGAGCTGAAAAAATGACTCGCGAGCAGCTTTCAAGGGCTTTAAATGATTTGGCGGCCCCATGACTAATTCCATATGAGTCCCTGTCACAGGAATAAGCACCTCGCGGTGGGCATGTTTTATCTGTTTACTCTCGTCTTTTCGCATTCTGCTGTCGAGATTACGGACCTAGTGAAGCTTACACAAAACTGAAAACAACAAAAATAAAATAGGTGGTGGTCTAAACTTTGAAGTTCTTACGTGCGATAAGAACTTCGTGTGGCCTAAACTTTGATCGTTCCCATGTGTGATTCTTTGAGAAAGTGGCCTAAACTTTGAATTTCCCCGGAGGCACTTCTGCCATCGGTGACTAGAGCACCGCCCGCTAAGGCCACTACGCTTTATGCAGACCAATAAGGTTTACGTTTTTCATTCAAGGTGATGACACACATAGAACTAGTCAGAGCGCCTCAGGGGAAATTCAAAGTTTAGACCACTTCCACACATAGGAAGAATCAAAGTTTAGGCCACTTTCTCAAAGAATCGCACATGGGAACGATCAAAGTTTAGGCCACACGAAGTTCTTATCGCACGTAAGAACTTCAAAGTTTAGACCACCACCTATTTTAGATCCTCAAAGAAATTAATTTATCAAAGCGAATAATTATGCGAAAAATTATTCTTTTAATTTTGCTCGCGAGCCGCTCGTGAGTCAATTCCATGGCGAGCACGAGAGCAGCCGCTCCCGCTCGTCTTGCTCCCGAGCATTTCTGACATATGCGCTCGTGCTCTCTGCGCTCGCGAGCGTGTTCAAATTTGGGCTCGTGCTCTTTTGGCTCTCGAGCCGACTCATTTTCATGCTCTCGCTCCCCTGCTCTCAGATCAATGATAAATTTTTGCTCTCGCTCTTTTCGCTCGCGAGCATTTGCGAGCATTTCAAACTCTGGCCCAAATGGCTTAGTTTTCCAAGATACTCGCCTCGTACTTTTTTAGTTGGTTCAAAAGCGAGTCTTCCATGATTTAAAAAGCTGTTTTTCGGAACCGTGCATGAGGCGCGCGTCGTTTTTCAAAAGCTCGAGGACTGCGTTCATGTCTCTTTCGAGCACATGCGGATTCGTTGCAATGTAGAAATAGGGAAAGTTGTATCAGCAGTCAATCTTGTACCGACCAAGCTGTATGCGGTCTATGTTTTTTATCTAAAGTAATTTTTAGTGATCGCTCTTTTTAGCGCAAAAACCTTGGTAATCGCCTTGTGTTCCTTTTCTAGTGGCGGCAAATCTTTTTATATCAGTGGCGGGATCCATGTCAGACAGAAGCATCGAGACGTGGTTGAACTCGTCGTATTTCCTCTTTTTGTTTCTCGTCACCATCGACTATTCTTGCTGATCGTTTGACGATGCTACGTTGGAATCTTTTTTCTTGCTCGAGCTTCTCAACTGAAAAATTAAAGTTTAAGTTTCAGTTACTAGCAGCTGCCAACCTACTGCCAGTTCGAAAGATATTAATTTCTTTCTAAAGTTTTCTTTCTAGATCCACAAAAACAACGCTTATGATCCACACTCGCTCCCGAGACCTATATTATTCAATTTTTTCATCAGAAGAATGTTTTTAAGGGGGCCACAATTATAACGGGCAAATTCTTCCCGCGGCCCACAATTATAACGCGTTCAATATTCTTCCCTGGACTCACTCACTGAATCTCCAGAAAATTTCATGAAGACTGGTACCAAAATAAATCACGCATAAGTACTTATTTTAGCGAGACAGCTTACGGAAATCACGGTTTTTGGTCTATTTTTGGCAAATTTGAGGAAAATCAATGGTGGTTGGTTCCGGCCGGAAGTGTCGTGGTACTGATCTTTTGGTACCATTCTTCATGAAATTTTCTGGAGATTCTTTTGGTACTGGTTTAGTACCGATTCGATAACAAAAATAGTACCGAAATTCAATACCGGAAGTTTGGTACCAAAATTTAAAAATCGAATGCGGTACGAATTTTTTCCTCGTAAACTCCATTTTGAGCCGTCAACCACTTCCGTATCATATTCCATTCAAAAGTTATTGAATTGCAACCTAAAAAAACGCGTCTTAGTGAGTCCAGGGAAGAATATTGAACCCGTTATAATTGTGGCCCCCTTATTTTCTCAGATATCGTCTCTTGAAAGTAAAGCATTGCCCGGGAAAAAGATGTCTCTACCCCCTTTGACATCTTTTGGCCACCCCTTGGCGCTGTTGTCTCAGCCAAAAATGTCCTCAGCGCTTTCCCACTTTTGACCAAAGCAATGGCGGAACTAAATAAATACTATTTTGGTGGTGTTTTGTCTAGTTGATGGTGCAAAAGAATAAGAATTTTTACAAAAAAACAAAAGGGTAAAAAAAGAAAAAAGGGGTGGAGGGCGCCCAGGTTCACAATTGTGTACCCGGTTCACAATTTATATTTCTTATATAGGTTTTTATAATTTTTTAGTTAAGTTTACAGTCGTCGAATTATCTCAGGTGCCTGACTCAGGCTTTTTCTATGGTGAAGACCAATTAAAATCAGTTCTTTCTGTTTTTAAAATTATTTTTATCTTTTAGAAAGCTTTTGAAAGAAAATGAAAATTTTCGATTTTTTCAAAAAATTTTCATAGCGAATCTATATGAATTTTTTTGTTCCCCGTCGCTTACGTGAAAAAGAAATAAAAAATGCGAGACTTCAGTGAGAGGATTTTTTCGTAAAAGGGAATTCTTCCAGCTGGCTGGTTCCTCCGCCGCGGAGGCTCCGCGTGGTCCTCCGCTTAATGAAAAATCGAAACACGCCCGCATGGTTTCGCTTATTCGGGCAACCCCTACTTTCATCGATATGTTTCACATGTCGCAAAGAGTCTTTTAAAAAGACTGTTTTAAACTTGGTTTGACTTTAAAAATTTAAAAAAGTATCGAAATTGGCAGTTTATGGTAGTCACTTGGCAGTGGCAGTTGCAATTTAAAAAAGCTGGCAGTCGCTTGGCAGTGCGCTATTTTCTTTCAGATTTCGAACTCTGCTTGTCGGTTTTTTCAAAAATAAATCTTAATTGGGCGAAACTAAATCGAGAACCTCAAGTGTCTTATTGGCAATAAGTTATTGCGGATAGAAAATGTTTAACGAAATGTAGACAGCCTTCGCGCTATTGTATATTTCTCTTAACACTAACATCGGCGCCGCTTATCCGATTTTCTGCCCTTTTGCTTCTCTAGCATTTTGTCCATCTAGAATGATTTTTGCGGTTCAATTATTATTTTCAATGATGAAACGATGAATTTCTAGAAAGAAGGAATAGACCACAATATCAGCAAAATTTCAGGAAAGCTGCAATGAGCGCTTCACGAAAATTAAATTCTAGTGTTCACCCGCTTCAGGGTATGTTTTATTGATTGCCATCACATGTTTCCGAGGAGTTATCCTGCCAAGTTTTTCTCATTTTTGAATTCTAATATTTTCATTTATCATACTCATCATTGTATCTTCTTCTCGCATCTTCTTTTAATGGCGATTAATTTGATAAAATTTAAATCAGGTTAAATGTTCGAAATTTTTGATAAAATGACTATTTTCTCAGGCGCGCCAGTTTTGAAATCTAGAAAGAAACAGATTTGCGCGCTACAGACAAATACAGTGGTTTTCCAAGATAAGAGGACCCGAAATAAGAGGACTTTTGCGAAAGTTTGGCTTATTTTGTTATCTGAAAAATTCGAAAATAAAAGGATTTTATTATTATACAATAAGAGAATTGTAACGTCAATGTGCATCTTTAAAAAATCGCGGTATTTTACCCATTTTCCCACTAAATATATGGAATCAGGGGTCTGGATTTTGGCCAAAAATGAAAAGCGAAAGCGAAGCGAAAGCGAAAATTTTTCAAAAATTAAAAGCGAAAGCGAAGCGAAGCGAATGAAAATTTCGTGAGCGAAAGCGAAGCGAAGCGAAGCGAAAAATTTTTCTAAAAAGCGAAAAAATGCGAAAATTTTCCGGAAATATTTAACCTTTGAAAAAGTGTCCATTTTATGTATGGTTTCATTTTTATTAGTGACGCCCGGATC